GGATGAAGCAGCAGACAAGGGGGGCTGCCAACGAACCGCATCTTGAGCCCCATGGCCACTGGCTAGGGGCAGGCGCGGGCCGCAGGTCTCGTGGAACTTTTGAAAGAGCTGCTGCACATTTCAAGACTTCCTCGGCTGGTTGTTACTCCACACGCTTCGCGTGCCACGCAACAGACAGCAGCTGATATACGTGATTGCCAAACTGCGTCGGGCTCGAAGCTACGATAGCCAGCGCATCATCATCGATGAAGGCGGCATCTAAAACTGAAGTGCTGGGGAGGGGGGGCGCCTGGGCCAGGGGATCCCCAGAAAGGGCCCTGGGGGGCAAGGTAAACGAAGAGACACACCCCCATCGCGGAGCTTGTCCACAATCAGCGTCAAGGCGATCCCATACACGCCGTTAAAGACATGCGCTCCAAGCTCCCAGCCCTGGCGGCCACCTGCGCGGCTCGTCGCGCACGCGGGGAGATCGGACACTGCTACCCAGGAGCCACCGTGCAAGGTGCGGATCATATCCGCCACAACTTCATCGACACCCAATTGCAGTAACAGGGGGCCGCGCTGCCCAAGGTATGCTGTCATCCAATCTGCGGAGACGGCAGACACCCCGACTGTCGACAAATACTGGCGGTGCTCAGCGGCCGGGCGGCACCCCCACCCATGCAGAAGCTGGCGAATCACTCGATCAAAGGCCTTCGTCAAATCTGCGCATAATACAAAGATGGAAATACCGGCCGCTATATATATATATATAAATAAACTTATATACTATACTATACTATACGATTCCTCAAGGCTCGGAACAGGTCCGCCACATGTAGAAGACGAAACCATGCATGGCTAGCGCGGGGGCCGCGCGCAAAGAAAGGAAACGCTAGGGAGCGCCGGGGGGGCTGCCACCTCTTGGCGCGCCCGATCGCTCGACCGAACGCGGCGCGGGCCTGGCCCGCTGCAAGTGCATGGGAATGGCCGGCGCGACGGGCGTCGCGCCTCTGTACATTGTCCAACGAATCAAGTTCTGTACACTGAGCAGACGACAGTCGATTGTAGGAGGGGGGGAGGAGCAAAAAGTGCCCCAACACTTCGCACGCCTGCTATCACATAAATGCAGGCGGAGCCTAGACCAGAACTGTGCGTTCACAGACCTGGCAGACGCCATCAGGCAGGCAAAATGTGCGCCGAGGTGCCTTTACACCGCGCTTCGTCCGCACGTGGGACTTCAGAGCCCAGGCCGAAGCAAAAGAGGACGGGCACTGAGGGCAGCGGTGGGCTGTACTTGGAGCGTAGCGCGAGGGAACCGCGCCTGCTCCCAGGTCGCATGCTGACTCAACAAAATGGATGCCAATATAAGCCCGTGACCAACGGGCAGGCGTGCAGACGATAAATTTTAGCCAAGGCCCGAAGTCCCTGTCGGGATCTGGGAATGCAAAACACAAGGCTGCCATGCGCACGCATGTCGGTCACGCCGCTGGGGCCGAACCTGCATTCGCCAGCGAGGGGACGGAGGCACCGCATGTACATGGTGTTCAAAATGCGCAGGGCTGCAAGAGAGAACACGCGAATGTGGGCGTTAAAGAACAACCGGGAGAACACGAGCGACACCAACATCGATCAGAACGTGGGCAAGCCTCGTTGCCATAGACGCGCACTGCCAGCGGGCTGTGAGCCGCAGCGGCCGACACGACGCGACCCCAGGCTTCGTGGACATTGTTGCCGCCAGCCTCCGCGACGCCGCCGAGGTGCTTGCACTGGGACACGACCGCGACGTGGTCGGTGGAACCAAGCACTTTCACCTGAAGAGCGACGTGGGGACCAGCCCTCCTGGCAACGCAATGGAAGGCTGCATTAAGGCCCCTGTAGATGACGCTGCACTCTGTTTTGCCCAGCTCCCAATCAATCGATGGCAAAGCCTAACAGATCCAGGATACCACGCAACGACTCGAGCAGGATGTCTCAATATACTGGCCCAAGATAGCCGGGGTCTTGGCGCACAGCAGAAGACACTCGTCATCAACAAAGGCCACGTCAATGACAGGGACCGCGGCGTCGGGCGAGGGGGGGGGGGGGGGGGAAATCCTGCCCCCCCGCCACCCGCCAGGTCGCCGTCAGCGGGGCCGCCCCCAGAGGAAAGGAAGTCTGGGCCAGTGTCGTGGATGGGCAACTAACTCCACGCCGGCCTCGACGAGAGCGTCTCTGAGGCGCAGCAGGCCGATCGAGCACGCGCCGCTGAAGATGGCGCTGCCGCATTTGCAACCTCGATTTCCACCAAGGCGCACGCTGATCGCAGTGTCCAAGTCGCCGTAGCTGAGCCAACTCTTGGAGCGCAAATCCTCGACGAGGCGGATAATCTTGTCAGGGACGCCCCACTGCTGCATGAGAGGCCCATGGACGGCGATGAATTCGACGATCCACTCGACCTGATGGGCGGCGAAACCGAGGCCCGACAGGCAAGCGGACGGGCATGCAGTCGAATGGGATGCCAAGCACGAGCTCGCGGATCGCCTTGTCGAACGCCTTGGAAAGGTCGACGTAGAGAACAAACGCACATAAACAACATACCTTGCAACAGGGCTCGACCTGAACAGTGTTCTCTGTTCACGCGTCGCTTTCGTTTAAGAACGAAGTTTAAGCGAAAACGCCGGCCGGCGTCGCGCGGGCCGTTCTGGAACAAAACAGCGGGTGAACAAAACAGCGGCCCCCGAGCAGCCGAAAACGAAACGCATAACAGAACGGTGGCACGGCCGCGGGCCACCAACAGAACGGAAAAAAACTAAACGAGCGAGCGCCAAGGAACAACGAAGGACGACGACGAGTCAAGTGAAGGTTTAAGCAGCGAGAGCACGAGTAACAAGTTAGGCGGGAATCTAAATAAAGATTTAATCCGCGAGGGAGCGAGTGACGATTTAGGGGGAGATCCCAGCACAACCCCCCAGCACACATTCGAACAGCACGACCCCCAGCACAACCCTCCCCAGCACAACCCTCCTCCGCAAAATCCCCCAGCACACACACCCAGCACTACCCCCAACACAAACCTCCAGCGCAATCACCCAGCACAAACCCCAAGCCCCCCCCCACACACACATAACTCCTCAGCACAACCCCCCCAGCATAACCCCCCAGCACAACCCCCCCCCTCCCAGCACGACCTCCCAGCACAACCCCATAGCACAACCCCCTGGCACAACCCCCGGGCACAACCCCCTGGCACAACCCCCCCCAGCACAACCCCCCAGCACAACCTCCCAGCACAACCCTCCCCAGCACAATCCCCCAGCACAACCCCCCAGCACAACCCTCCAGCACAACTCCCAGCACAACCCCCTGGCACAACCCAACAGCACAACCCCCCGCACAACCCCCCAGCACAACCCTCCCAGCACTACCCCCGGCACACACACACCCAGCCAATCCCCCAGCACAAACCCCCGGCACAACCTGCCAGCACAACCCCTAGAGAGGGCCAGTTTAGAGTCTGGAGGTTGTGCTGGAGGTTGTGCTGGAGGTTATGCTGGAGGTTGTGATGGAGGTAGTGCTGGAGGTAGTGCTGGAGGTTGTGCTGGCGGTTGTGCTGGAGGTTGTGCTGGAGGTTGTGCTGGAGATCGTGCTGGAGGTTGTGCTGGAGGTTGTGCTGGAGGTTGTGATGGAGGTTGTGCTGGAGGTTGTGCTGGAGGTTGTGCTGGAGGTTGTGATGGAAGTTGTGCTGGAGGTTGTGCTGGAGGTTGTGCTGGAGGTTGTGCGAGAGGTTGTGCTGGAGATTGTGCTGGAGGCTGTGCTGGAGGTTGTGATTGTGCTGGAGGTTGTGCTGGAGGTTGTGCTGGAGGTTGTGCTGGCGGTTGCGCTGGAGGTTGTGCTGGAGGTTGTGCTGGAGGCTGTGCGGGAGGTTGTGCTAGAGGTTGTGATGGAGGTTGTGCTGGAGGTTGTGCTGGAGTTTGTGCTGGAGATTGTGCTGGAAGTCATGCTGGAGGTTCTGCTGGAGGTTGTGCTGGAGGTTGTGCTGGAGGTTGTACTGGAAGTTGTGATGGAGGTTGTGCTGGAGGTTGTGCTGGAGGTTGTGCTGGAGGTTGTGCTGGCTGGAGGTTGTGCTGGAGGTTGTGCTGGAGGTTGTGCTGGAGGTTGTGCTGGAGGTTGTGCTGGAGGTTGTGCTGGAGGTTGTGCTGGAGGTTGTGCTGGAGGTTGTGCTGGAGGTTGCTGGAGGTTGTGCTGGAGGTTGTGCTGGAGGTTGTGCTGGAGGTTGTGCTGGAGGTTGTGCTGGAGGTTGTGCTTGTGCTGGAGGTTGTGCTGGAGGTTGTGCTGGAGGTTGTGCTGGAGGTTGTGCTGGAGGTTGTGCTGGAGGTTGTGCTGGAGGTTGTGCTGGAGGTTGTGCTTGAGGTTGTGCTGGAGGTTGTGCTGGAGGTTGTGCTGGAGGTTGTGCTGGAGGTTGTGCGGGAGGTTGTGCTGGAGGTTGCTGCTGGGTTGTGCTGGGTTGTGAGGTTGTGCTGGAGGTTGTGCTGGAGGTTGTGCTGGAGGTTGTGCTGGAGGTTGTGCTGGAGGTTGTGCTGGAGGTTGTGCTGGAGGTTGTGCTGGAGGTTGTGCTGGAGGTTGTGCTGGAGGTTGTGCTGGAGGTTGTGCTGGACGTTGTGCTGGAGGTTGTGCTGGAGGTTGTGCTGGAGGTTGTGCTGGAGGTTGTGATTGTGCTGGAGGTTGTGCGGGAGGTTGTGCTGGAGGTTGTGCTGGCGGTTGTGCTGGAGGTTGTGCTCGAGATTGTGCTGGAGGTCGTGCTGGAAGTCGTGCTGGAAGTTGTGCTGGAGGATATGCTGGAGGTTGTGCTGGAGGTTGTGCTGGAGGTTGTGCTGGAGGTTGTGCTGGAGGTCGTGCTGGAAGTTGTGCTGGAGGTTATGCTGGAGGTTGTGCTGGAGGTTGTGCGGGAGGTTGATGGAGGTTGTGCTGGAGGTTGTGCTGGAGGCTGCGCCGGAGGATGTCCTCCTCTCCCTTCCTCCTTCCTCCCAGTCCTCGCCGTCCTGGTCCTCGTTGCCACTCCTCCTTCTCCGACTCGCCTCGGGGAAAGTGGAGTGGGAGGCGCCCCGCCCCCGCCCCCTCTCTGCCCATCCCTCAGCCCCTTCCCCTCGGAGGCTCCAGAGTCCCTCCCTCGGCTGTCCTGGCGGCCCTCGGCTAGAAGGGGTTGTGCTGGGGGGTTGTGCTGGGGAGGGTTGTGCTGGGGGGTTGTGCTGGGGGGTCGTGCTGGGGGGTTGTGCTGGGGGTTGTGCCGGGGAGGGTTGCGCTGGGGAGGGTTGTGCTGGGGAAGGTTGTCCTGGAGAGGGTTGTGCTGGGGAGGTCGTGCTGGGGGGTTGTGCTGGGGGATTGTGCTGGGGGGTTGCTGCTGGAGGGTGTGCTGGGGGAGGGTTGTGCTGGGGAGGGTTGTGCTGGGAGGGTTGTGCTGGGGAGGGTTGCGCTGGGGAGCGTTGTGCAGGGGGGTTGTGCTGGCGGGTTGTGCTGGTGCTGGGTGGCTGTGCTGGAGAGGGTTGTGCTGGGGGGTTGTGCTGGAGGTTGTGCTGGGGAGGGTTGTGCTGGGGAGGGGTCGTGTGGGGGTGGGGGAGGGTCGTGCTCTGGGGAGGGTGCTGGGGGGTTGTGCTGGGGAGGGTTGTGCTGGGGGGTTCTGGGGGGTTGTGCTGGGGGGTTGTGCTGGGGGGTTGTGCTCGGGAGGGTGGTGCTGGAGGGTTGTGCTGGGGAGGGTTGTGCTGGGGAGGGTTGTGCTGGGGAGGGTCGCGCTGGGCTGGGGAGGGTTGCGCTGGGGAAGGATGTGCTGGGGAGGGTTGTGCTGGGGGGTTGGGCTGGGGAGGGTTGTGCTGTGGAGGGTTGTGCTGGGAGATCGTGCTGGGGGGTTGTGCTGGGGAATGATGCCGGGGAGAGTTGTGTTGGGAAGGGTTGTGCTGGGAAGGGTTGTGCTGGGGATCGTGCTGGGGGGTTGTGCTGGCGGGTTGTGCTGGAGGGATGTGCTGGGGAGAGTTGTGCTGGGGGGGGGTTGTGCTGGGGAGTGTCGTGCTGGGCTGGGGAGGGTTGCGCTGGGGAGGGTTGTGCTTGGGGATTGTGCAAGAGAGTTGTGCTGGGAGGGTTGTGCTGGGGAGGGTTGTGCTGGGCTGGGGAGGGCTGCGCTGGGGAAGGTTGTGCTGGGGGGTTGTGCTGGGGGTTCCGCTGGGTGGCTGTGCTGGGGGGTTGTGCATCGAGCGACTTGGGCGCGCCGCTGAACACGTCGGTAAAATGCTCAAGCCACCGCCGTGGCCGCTCGTGCTCTGAGGTAGTAAGAAGACCATCCTGGCGCAAGATGTGCTGCGGCTGCCGCGTTGCGAAGCGGCCGCCGAGAGCGCGAAGGATGGCGCACGTGGTCCGAGTGTCGCCTCTGGCGTAGGCGTCGCGGGCCTCGGTGGTCTTGGCTTCAATGAACACGCGGCGATCCTCATTGACAGCGGGCTTGATCGCACGCTGGATTGCTGCCGCGGCGCGCCACGCAGCAGCTGAAGCGAGACGGAGGACGTGAAGTTAGCGCGAAGTGGTGAGCCCGAAGGCTCACACATCTGTTCCTGCTGCTGCTGCTTTTACTGCTGCTGATGAATTCTCCGGGGCCCAGACACCCAGGCGGCCCAAGAGGCACGCAAGAGGCCACAAGGGGGGCCAAGAGGGGGAACACGACCGGACACGTCGAGCCTTCCGCCCCAAAAGGGCCCCAAGAGCCCACCACGGCGCATCCCCAAGACGCCAAACGAGGCCTCCTAGGGCCCCCAGGACGCCTATTGGGGGCCCCAAGAAGCCCCCCAGAAGCCTCCAAGACCCATCCACGAGTCCCTCCAGAGGCACCCCAAAAGGCATCCCAAGACACCCGCCCGTGCATCCAATAGGCCCCTGAACCACAGCCCACGCCCAGGCACGGTAGCGGGATGGGCCGAAAGGCATTAAACATATGTACCATTTCACATCGCAGCGCGGCAAAGGCAATCCGCACTCGCGTCCAGGCGAGACCAGCGCACGCAATCGCGAAGTAACCCGCATGCAAGAGGAAGGGAGAAGGCGACGGGGGCGGCCGCGGAGGGGGGAACTGGGCGCGGGGGCGGGGCTGCGGCGAACGGGCGGGGACGGCCCAGCTGAAGGGCAGCCCCTGGCAGCCGTCGCGGGGCGGCATCGTGATGCACCCAGGGGCGGGGCCAGCAGCCGCAGCGCGGGAGAAGCCCAGCAAGTAGCGAGGGAGCAGCAGGCGGCCGGCGAACCTGGGCGCCAGGCGGGGGGGAGGCAGCGGCGCGGATACCGCGGCGGGCCAAGGGCACAGTGCGACCGGCGCTGCGGCAGCTGCGTGCGATTGCTGGCCCAAGCAGAGCGCGGCGGACCGGCCAGTGATGGCCGTTGGGCGGCAGGCGGCAAGCCGCGGGGGCGGGTACTTGGGCACGGGCAACTGGTGGAGAAGCGAACGCCACGCCGAAGCTGGCGCACGGCATCACAGCTTGGGAGTCGGCGGTGCCCAGTGCAAGTGGCGCACGGGCGGGGCTCCCACGAGGGGGAGAGAGAGACGGGCCCGACGGGGGCCGTCCGAAGGGCGCCGAGGAGGGCGGCCACCGGGGAGCAAAAGAAGAAAGTGGCACCCCGCACGCCCGAAGAGGCCGTGCCGCGTGACAGGAAGCACGGGCAGGGCCTGGAGCGGGGAGGCATAAGCGGAAGGTGAGCCGCAACGGCGGCGACCCCCAAGTGGGGCAGCACAAGCTGCGAACAGGGGCGACAGCCCCTGTAAAGCGTTGGGGTTGCGGGGGCAAGCCCCACCAGGAACGGCCCAGCGCGCGGCTCGCTAGGCGAGGGGCGGGGGGCCAAGGAGTGGCGCTACCGAGGAAGGGCAGAGCCAAGGGGCGGGCGGGCGGCGGCACAGAGCCATGCCGGAGGCGGCATGCCACCTGGGAAGATGGCGCACCGAGGGGCGGGGAGCTGCAGGGCCAGGTGCCGAGCAGCAGGGGAGGGCTGGCCAGGCAACGCCACGCACCGCCTGGGTTGGCCAGTGCGTAGGGGCCCGAGCGGCAGGCGCGTCAATGAGAGGGGCGCGGCGGGGAAAGCACCTACCGGTACGCGGACAGGTAGGCAGGCATGTGTACACACATACATACATGAATACGCCGTTATGTGTACACTTGTGTATGCACCTATCACCATGCGTTCCGGCTGGCCCATGGCGACCAGATCCGAGTCACCCCGTGCGACCTGTGAAGTACAAAGTCTACGTTGACGTTGACGTTGACGCTTCGGCCGAGACATTGCTAAACGCGTGGCCAGAACAGGAAGGGGCGTACATCCCGTGGCGCTCCCGCCTACGGGCGGCGCATATGCATCACAGGCAAAATCGCTGGGGCGGGGCAGCGCGCGAGCGGGCGACTGGTCGCCCTCGCCCAGGATCCGTGCACGCTTCGCCTGGAAATTGCGCTCCCGCGTGGGCGCAACGCACGTTTAGCTCGCATATCCCATGAAAGCGGCAGCGGCAACGAAGCCGCACGAAAGCGGTCAACACGATGTCCTCGCCCAAGAGCCGCGTAGCTTCTGCGTGAAACTGGCAGTGCTGTCTCGGCGCGGCGCATGCTTTTTCTTCGCCGCACTCATCGGACATCCGGCCGCACGAGAGAGAGCTGACACGGGTTTTCCCCCCGCCGAGTCGTCAGAAGCGGGACCGGGCGCGGGCGCTTTCCGTTCGCTGGGTGGGGACGCGTTCCAGTCTCCATCTCAAGTTGTGCCACCAGTGACCCTTCTGATATGAGAGGGAAGGTGGGAATGGGCGGGGCCCGCTGACTCGTTCGACCTGGTTATCTCGGGCACAGCTCATACCAGAGCTCCCAAAATAGCTCCTACTACAAATGGTTCAGTTCCTAAAGCACGGTGCCCGAAACTGTCCATACACGGCATCGTACTCTTCGCGACGCGCTCACCGTCACTACATTGAAGTGCGAGTTGATGCGTTGCCAATCCCTCCCTCCCATTTCCTTCCATCGGCTCTCCTTTTCCGCTCCCCTCTTCCCTTCCCCTCCCGTCGTTGCATTGCTGGGACGGGGCGGCAGGAGGCTCCACGCTTTGCGGAGAGGGCGTCGTTGCATTGAGTTGCTTTGCATTGCGGAAGGGGAGCTCCAGTGGATGATTCCGTCGAGACAAATGAAAATAGCAGGCATCTGAGGCACGACAGATTCCCCAAGATATTTTGGCGAAGAAGGCACGCTCGTGGACAGCCCGGCTGTCACCCAAACATCCGCCAACCACGCGGGGTCATAGGACGTGTGAGAGATCGCTCGACCCCGACACAAATCCCCGACGTCTTCACTTTTCAATTCCGTGGGCACCCGAGCTCTCGACCCTTGCCACAGGGCCGGGCCGACTTTTCGCCCTCGGTCGTTCCTCTGTGGTCCCGGAGCTCCGACGACGGCCGCATGAGGCCGAGATCAGAAGAAGAGCGCCAGTTGCGAAAAGTCACTGCGTCGGAGGCCTGAGCCAGAGGGCCCCCCCTGCCGCCTCCGGTATGGGCGGTGAGCGTTCTGTTCATGCCCCTCATGTGGCAACTCACGGGGGCCTCCCCTGTCATCTTGCTGGCTCTTGCAAGTCGACGCTACCCGATGCTCACCGAAACTAATCGACCGCAACTCGACGCTGCATCGACGCTAAGTCTGCTCGTTCCCATCGATTACTAGACACTAGCACACGCTAACACATTCTAAACAGAAACGTCCGAGGACATACCGAATGCCGCTGCTGACGCCATAGCCCCACGATGGAGCCAGAGCGGAAGCAGGGATAAAAAACGCCTTTTGAGGCCACGGTTCCCTCTCCATGCCCCATGGCGGACTCGTGCGGTGGCGACTTCGACGTTAGCCTCCGACACCGCGTGGATCGTTCAACCTTGAACGATCGCGGCGATTCGGTGATGCAGATGATTCGCTGTCGGCCGATTCCAGGCCACTGGCGGCGTTCGACCTTGAAGGCCCGCGCGTCACTCGCCGCCGCGTCGACACGACACAAACTTGCGACACCCTTCGTCGTTCAGGCCTGA